GGGAGGAAACCCACTGTGTCTTACTCTTGAATGATTTTCAGGTATTCTCAGCTCTGGAATTTTAATGGTAAARACACTTGTAAACAGTGGATTGATGGGAGTGATGTGGAAGCTGTTTCCATTCTCCCCTGGTGGGAACTGAATGGGCATCACAGACCCTGAACACACACATTCCAACCTTTATTCCTAAGACGGGGTCTATACCAGATTTTAAAATGCCCTGACAGAACAGGCAGTAGAGCATGGTTTCTTTCTTCCATCCTTTTCTTATTCTCTTTCTTTCTTCCTCCCTTCCTTCCTCCCTCCCTTCCTTCCTTCCTTCCTTCCTTCCTTCCTTTTTTGTCAATTCAGTCCATCAGTTTCTACTTTCTCACTCCTTATAGACTAGTCTTACCTTCTAGATCTCTGAAATTTTCACCTAAGTAGAAAAATAAATGTAAACTATTGACATAACTACAACTGACAAAATCTGGCCACTTATCAAAGAATTATTTAATAAAAAAAATCTAAAGCTACCTATGCAGGTTATCCTATGAAAAGCCCTTTCCATCCATTCTCTAAGCCTGTCAGCTTCAGGAAGGTGGCAGATATGGGATTTGTGCAATTCAGATTGCACCAAAGCTATCCTATCCATTATGAATTTCAACATTGGTTGTTTTAATTCAATCGTTTATACCAACATAARTAAATCTAAATCATGCAGGTAGTCTTAGAAGAAACACAACAATATATACTATTACACACCTATCAAAATGTCCAGAATCTAAGCACTGACATCGCCAAATGCTGGTGAGGAATATGGAGCAACAGGAACTTTCACTGTGCAAGATGGCACAGGCACTTTGGAAGAACTGAATATACTCTCAGTATATAATGCAGCAATTATACTCTGAAATTTACCCATAGGAATAAAAGCTTAGAACCATCACACAGAGGTTTTTTAAAAAAAAAAATATATATATATGTGTGTGTATATTTAGTTGTCAGTGGACCTTTATTTATGTGTGATGCTGAGGATCGAACCCAGTGCCTCACACATGGTAGGCAAGCACTCTATCACTGAGCCACAACTCCAGCTCTCACACATAGGTTTATAGCAGCTTTATACATAATTGCTCAAACTTAAAAGCAACCAAGATGGTCTTTAATAAATGAAATGGTCACATTGTAGTATATCCATAAAATGGAATTCTATTCAKCATTAGAAAGAAATGAGCTAGCAAGCCRTGGAAAGACAYGAAGGAACCTTAAATGGATACACTAAGAAAAAGAAAGCAGTCCAAAAGGCTGTGTACTATATAGTTCCAACTGYTTGACATCCTAGAAAAAAATGAAGCCTATAGAGATGGTTAAAAATATCAGTAGTTGTCCAGGTTTGGGGTGAGAAGGGGGAAGAGAATAGACAGAATGCAGAGGACTTATGGGGCAGGGAAACCATTCTATCCACTACTGCAGTCGGGGGTACATGCCATTTTACATTTGTCAAGTCCTGTGGAATGCACAACACCAACCCTATTGTAACTTTGGACTATGAAGCATTTACAGGTTGAGTGACAGCAGTAAGGCAATTAAGTGAATTCCCTGTAACCAAAGGTCTCTAGAGTGCAGAATGTTGGTGGTTGGGCGGGGGGGGTCATACCTGTGTGCAGGCAARGAGCACAGAATGCTGAGCTTTCAGCTCAATTCTGCTGTGAACCCCAAACTGCTCTAAAACACCAAAAGAGCATTGGAAAAAGAGTTTCAAAATGTGAAAGAAAAAGGAGGAGGAGGAGAGGAAACAAATACATGACAAGCAACTACACCATTCTTCCACTCATTTGGTACTTATTCACTTGCTACATTCTGTCTTACATTCTTTCTTACTTTCTTCTAGGGCAATTTATTCTGTTGTTAAAGGTAAAGGTTACATATTAGCTAACTTGATTGAATTTATTTTAGTTAAATTAAACCTAGACTTTTTTGAGATTTGAGAATTCGGCATGACGATGGTTCAGGAAATGAGGTGAGAGGGTCAACTCACCAGCAGTGACGGGGCTCAGCCTCCTGGATGTAGAGCCCTCATGGGGGAGAAAAGTCAGAAAAAGATTGCTGGACATGGAGTAGGACAGGAYGTAAAGGTCCCACTTCTAAAGAAGAGCATCCCCTGGTAGAGTTTCAAAAAGTTATTCYTTATGAATGTTTAGAATAGGTTTGTTTGGAGACTTTAAAGGGTTCTTGACTACGTGCCAGAAGAATGAGGAAGAAAGATCTAGGAGAAAGAGCAGAGGAGAAGGGAACAGGACAGCCCAGGTCCTCCAGAGCAGACCAGGAGAAGATGTCCCAGGCAGGGCTTCCCCTCCATTCCCGCTGGAAGTGGGGGAGGGGCACGAGGAAGCAAAGACCTGACTTCCCATTTCACATGTGGGAATATTTAAACATTGATTCCRACTAACTTTGGCTTTAGAAAACTGAAATGGGAGTCTCAAATTCCAAGACAACATTCAACCTCATGAAAGCCAAAGCTTTTATATAGATGACCTGGTGACCCCAAACAGGAGCGAAAGGAAAGTGCTATGGTCTTATCTGTGTTTCTCTAAATAGGTTCCAATAGAATTTGAGTATGTGGAATTAATTAGGGTCATACTGAAAATATTRTGATCTCATTATATTATTAAGAATTCATCTTATTCATTCTGAATTCATTTACCCTCTTAATGAGTTTGGATAATATTTTAGTTGCTTAATTTATTGAGTCACACGAATGGGAAATGTCATAAATTAGAATATTAATTATGATATTCAGAATAACTAAAATACGTAGGTATGGGTGAAATTGTTTTGTTTTCTGATTTACTGTATGCCATCTGTCTTTAATATATAACTGACAGGTTGACTGTATAAATAGGTTTGTTATCTTTTTTAATGGCTTTATCATTATTTAAATATTAAACCAAGAGAATTTTAAGGTAAAGCACACAATTTCAATACACATACATAGAAAAAAAAAGGATATTCACAGTTTAACCTTTCCATACAAATGCAGTATCCCTTGAGGTGCTTTAATAGAGTGGAAGTGGATATAATCCAGATATGTTTTCAGGACACACCTCTAGTTTGCATCATACAAGGAGAAATACAAACTCACCTTCCTGGGGTGGATGCGAAGCGAGTACAACTGRGCAGAACTCTCATTGGGCAAAGTTGTTTCTGGCTGCTTTTCCTCAGCTCGACTTGGTAATCCCCGGAGCTGTCATCTGCAGGTGCCATGCAGACAGCCTGGGAGGAGGGTACCCCGCTCAGCACCGTGGTCTGAGTCCTTCCTCTGTCTGCCCTGGTGCTTCTCCCACAGTGGGGGTGTCATACTTGAAGTACTGTGCATAAAGTTTGCAAAATAAAAACTTTTATGGCCCATGAGTTCTGTGAGGGTTTTTTCTTTCCTGCTCTCACTTGTGGCTGAATGAAAATCATTCCTCTAGGAATGGGTGGYCCATGGGTGGKCCCACCGCAGGTGTGAGGCCTGCCCTCATTTTGTTTGYAAGCAGGTAGCAATTGCTGCTGGGGCCTCCGGGTCACATTCTTGGCTCTTCACAAAAGGGTGTTTTCACCCCTTTGAAGAGGTTATTGCTTMATCTTAAAAAGCACTATTTAAGTAAATTTGAGGAATACTAAGGTAGCTAGTAACATAGTAACTGACTAGCCTCATTCATCTATTCAGCAAAYGTTTAATGGCATCTGCTATGTTCTTGGCCATGCATTTGTGGTAGGAATAAGAATAYATCAGTGAACCAAACAAGGAGATTGGCCCTCCCAGAACATGCCTTCAAACAGGACACAGCTGATAACAGTAAATGTAACAAATTAGGTGAGCCTGTCAAGGGCTCTGAGGAACACTGTTCCCAATGAAGGTTAAACCAGGATGCTGTGGCAGAGGGTGGGTGTGGTTCAGATTGTAGTTTTAAGCAATGTGGTTAGAGGAACTTCATAGAGAAGGTAGCATCTGCATAACACCAAGAGTGGGGGGAGGAGTTGGCCATGGGTCCTGGCATATCAGTGAGATGGCTGGGTTTTCTGTAATAAGAAAGTTAAGCAGAGAAGGTACCAATGCTGGGAAACATTGAAGTTTAAAGGAGAAGGACGTTACAAAATGAATTCTTGTATTTTCCCATGTTAAATGCAGAGGTATTCAGACACAGCATCACCCCTGGCAACTGTGAAATAGTCTGCATGTTAACTAGYCACTTTGTTTTGCTTCCAGTTTAAATTTTAAAAGAGGTCCCAACATCAAAGGGCAGTAAGGAAAGCAGGCATTTTGCAAACACATTGCAAAGGTTGTTTCACATTTACTTGTAAAAGATTAAAATTGTCTCTGGGTAAAAAGGACACGAAAATTTAATGCAGCTTTTGTTGTTGTTGTTGTTTTTAATCAAATACCTAAGTGCAACTACTTAGCTCAACATGTTCTGTCTCTCATTGTGAGTGACATTCTCATCTTCCCAGATCTTCTGAGATAAATAAAACTCCTTGTGCCAAGGATTCCAGTTTCTCATTTAGCTCCTGGTTCCTTTGAATCATTTGGAGTGTTTCCCTATTAAATAGCATAATTTCAGCATTTCCTGCATCAATCCTGCAGCCTTGTAAGACAGTGGTTAAATTTAATAAGCCTAAGGAATGGGGACCATTCTCCTGCCTTTTGCTCCTCCATCTGCTTCATGCCGTGAATGTGTGGCATATTTTTAGAGAGAAATGTCTGAGACACCCATTCTAAAGTGAAAATCACCTTTCCAAAATTCTATAGCTTGAAAGAAATACATTTAAATTTTTATTGGTAGGATATTAAAGCAAGTACAGGCAATAAAATCAGGGAACACTTAATGGCTTTCTTTTCCCTTTGCATGTCTTAATTCAGTTCAGTGCAATTAATTGTAGCAGATTCTTCATATAAAAAAAAAATAACCATGTTTTGCTTTAGGTAGTGAAACCGTGCTCACTGAGGTGAAAAGTCGTGTCCTCTGCTCTTTCAGATAAGGAGACAAGGGGGCATACAGCTCCTGGTGGACCTGCTGGATCACCGGATGACCGAAGTCCACCGCAGTGCCTGCGGCGCCCTGAGRAACTTGGTGTATGGAAAGGCCAACGATGATAACAAAATCGCCCTGAAAAACTGCGGTGGCATCCCGGCACTGGTGAGGTTACTCCGCAAGACTACGGACCTGGAGATCCGGGAGCTGGTCACAGGTTAGCCTCGCTACTCAGTCATTACACTGGATCTCAAGACAGATTCTCCATTACCCAGCCATACGTTAAGAGTGCAAAGCCAATGTTGTGGTTCTGGGCTTCTCAGAGTGCTCATAACAGGGGCCATCTCAGTTTGTGTTTTCAGATGAATAATGTAGTAGCCATTGCCACACGCCTGGATTGATCGTGTTAAATCAGTAGAAGCCAGTACATGTAGCCCTCCCTAAAATTCTGTGGTCGTATTTCAGCCCTCGTCAGTTCATTTATAAGCAGTGGAGCATCTTACAATACCACAGGCCATCATTTGAATTACATGAAGAATAACTGATAGAAGGAAAGGGCTCCTGAGTTATTGGTAATAAGTGTGCAGTCTGGTTTATAGGCTGGTTAATAGTAGAGAGCTTATCATACTTAGTAGCACTTTATTTATCGAGTTATGTATTTATGCCTATTCAAAGTCCCAAGGTTATATGACTACACATTAAGGAGTTTTTCAAACGTTGACATGAAAGAAAGCCTCCCGAGATCGTAGAAATGTGGGTTTTATAAACCAGGTACTCATAGCCTCTTGAGGGCTTAATGAAAATACACAGACATTCAGCATGCACCTTTCTCAGAATATGTGTTAACATAGCAAACCTTGGCTATTAGCAATCCTCCCCTGCTTTTTAAGTGTGAGATGTACCTGCTGGAATGCTAGTGACATAGGTGGCCCCTGTGTGGGATCCACATTGCCTAATGCTTCCTCTTCTTAACTGTGCTCACTGCTGTTCTAGGTGACGTTTGGTTTCAGCCTCATCCGCATATCCCTAGAAGCAAGTATTTGGCAAATGGACTTTAAAGTTGACAGTCCAAAAAGATCTTCTAATCCTCTGTAATCCCTCACTCACCTTCTGTCTCCACTCTAAATAATTTCCTCATATCGGTGCTGATGCAACAGCTGCAAATTTGTTTATTAAAAAAAAATAGACTACTCAACCCAGAGAATCATAAATATGTATTCAGTCTTGGGTCAAGACTGCCAGCTTCAATATATTTTCTTGAATTTTCATTCTTTAGGATGATTGTCACATCTCTTTCTCACTTTTTAGCTGAATTAGAACCAAATTAATTTTCTTTTCTTTTTTCTATTTTCTTTCCGTAAGTAGAAAATTGTCTTTGTGGGGGAAAAGAATCATTGTTATGGGTTGTAGTGCTGTAAAAATAGTGTTTCACACTAAAGTAACCTGGGTCAGGAGATGCAAGAGTACCACCGTGCACACCTCGTGATGTCCGGGGTGGTTTTGAGGTGTGCTGATCCACTGGAAACACTCCCTGTCATTGCGGCCATGAACACCCRTCCCTCTTTGCATGGGTTGCATTGAAGCTGGAGATAGCTGTGGAGAAAGGAAGGACTCAGTGCGTGTGGTGAAGCATGCTGCCTCTGTGCTGAGCCCTTCCCCTGGGTGCACAAGTGCTAAGGTCCAGAAGAAGGCCTTCCGCGGACCCACCCCTGGGGCATGTTGCATGCTTTGAAAAAAAAATTGGATCTAACAAAATCTGGGATTGCTCCTATACAAAACCACCRCACCCCCATCACTACCACCAGAGCTCATCTCATTGCCAAAGAAACCGTCCCAGGTGAAAACTTGGCGTGATTGATGGATTGATGGCTTAAAAGAAAAAAGTGTGCTCCCTTGTCACATGACACACCTCAGAACAGAATGCCCTGTGCCACTGCTGTCACTTGAGGTGGCTATAAAGGAACAGAGGACAGCTACATCGCTGCTTTCGTGACTGCTTCTGACAGATCCTAGAGGTCACCCATTTTCAACCAGGGCAACATCAAAAATATCTACGTGAGCCCCATTTAAACATCAAAGGAAGATAACCTCAAAGGCAAACAGACCTCTCCCAAATGTCAGGAAGTTTCCTCTCCTGGTGAAACAGACTGTCGGGAGCAGGCAGGCACTTGATACTCAGAGAGAGGACTTTCACCTCTTATTCTCCTTCTTCTGAGAAGAACAAAGGTTGGTCCCATGGTCACATCATGACCCATGGTTATTTCATCAGCATGTGCTGGTGACCAAGGCTCTCTCCACCGCACCTCCTAGAAGAAATGCTGTCCACGGTGACAGCCAGACTGACGGAGAGTGACAGTGGTTGCTCCTTCAGCAGGTGTCTCTGCCTTTCCAGAGGCTGGGTTTTACTGTGCTCAGCTGAACTTCAGGCAGGAATTTGTTTCTCAAAGACAAACATGTTGTCACAACATTTTGACAAGCTGCAGTTCATCGTATCTGCAGTTTCATGGATGTTGTTGAAAATGGTGACTACCGTGGCCTGGCTGCGCCTCCAGTGCAGGAGACAGGAAGAGAAGCCCTGAGGACCTTCCAGTGCAGAAGGACCACAGCGCTCCAAGGATGCCTGAGAACCTGCAGGACCCTGCTGACATCGACATCAACATCACATCAGTGCGCAGGTCTAGCGGAAGCTGGACCCACTGCTGAAGCAGAAGGCAAACCAGGCAAATGGCCTCACCACAGAGAGCCTGCAGGGTCAGTTTCATCCTCAGCTGCAGCTCATGGCCATCTGCAAATGGGCTATGAAGTGGGATCCTGCTCATTTCTGCAGAGCTTTGAGAACCAGATGTTTTATTCCAGAAAACCTGGTTTAACATCCAGGTCTTCAAAGCCTGTGTTTCTTTTCTCCTTCATTTTCTTTGCAGTCCTTCTCCTCCAGACTCGTGTCTCTGGCCAAGTGTGCTGGACTCTGTAGCATGGTAAGCCTTCCTGTGTGGGTACAGGCACCCCATCGTTCCTAAGTKATTCATTTCTCGAATGACCTTGGAGATCTGCAGGCTTCAGGTGCTATTGAAGGGGCACTGATGCTTAGGTCAGCACCCGCTGCTGTGATTGGACGCTGCTGTGAATGGTCAGCACGTGTGCCTTGCTGGCTGCTGACGTGCAGAGACCTCCCTGACAACCATGTCTACGTTTAGAGTTGCCAGATGAGCAGCAAAGGAGGACACGGCTGTGAAGGGTGRAGTACAGTGTAAGAGGAGAGAGACTCAGCCATCTTTTTCAGTCTCGAGGAGCAGCCACAAATCCTTTTGAGAATTAGATTACATATCCGTGTTAGTCATCTTTCATCACGGTGACCATGATACCTGAAAAGGACAACTTAGAGGAGAGAAAAAGTTCATGTTGGCTCATAGTTTCAGAGGCTCAGTCCACTGTTGGCCATTTCCATTGCTTTGGGCCTGTGAGGCAGAACCTTGAGGCAGAGGAACATTCCCTACCTCATAGCAGCARGGAAGCATACAGTGAGCAAGTGAGGCACCAGGGACAAGATAAAAAYCCCCAAGGCACACCTGCCACTGACCTATTCCTCCAGCCACACCCTGCTGCCTGTGGATATTACCTGGTACAGTAGTGCTTCCCAATTATTAATCCATCAACTGTATCCATTCACTGATGAGGTTACAGCTCTCAGAATCTGATCATTTCACCTCTCATCGTGGCCACATTGTCTCCCGACCTTTGGGGGTGACACCTCAGAGCATTCTGGCCCTGGCCCCCTAAAGCTCATGCCATCTCACAGTGCAAAATCCACTCAGTCCATTTACAAGAATCCCCAGAAGCTTAAACATTTGAGCAACATCTAAAACACCAAGTCCAAAGCCTCCTCTGAGACTGAAGGCCAACTCTTGGCTCTGAGCCCCTRTCAAGATCAAAAGAAACTTAACGTATAAACAATATATGATGGCACAGAGTAAACATTTCCATTCATAAAAGGGGGAAATAGGGGGAAATAAAGAAAGCATGGGAGCAAAGCAAAACTGAAATCTAGCCAGGCAACAAGTCCTGTCTGTCCACGTTGGGCACCTGGGGCAAATGCTGGCGAGATGTGATCCCAGAGGGTTGGGCAGCTCCATCTTTGAGCCTTGCCAGTYGCAGCCCACACGGTCTTTCTCTTATGCTGGCTCTATCAGCGGCCAGCACCTCAGCAAATGTTCCTCATTCCTGGCATCTCTTCATCTGGGGGTCTTCATCCCAACTTCAGCTTCACATTTTGTAGCCTCACATGTCACTCTCAGTGATGCCTGCTGGCAGGGACTCTGGCCCTGCCACACTTCACCTGACTCACCAAGCCTTCCTTTGAAATCTCAATGGAAAGTTCTGGCCCCCCCCCCTAACTCTGGCATTCTGCATTCCTGCAGAACCAGCCCACATGAATGATGCCAATGTCTGCTGCCAGTCCAGTAACAACCGCACCACTCCAGACCACAGCTGCAGCGGCCTCTGATAGACTGGGCAGCTGAGCACAGTGAAATGCACCCTGGGGGAACAACTTCCTAGGCACCCCTGTGTAGATGGGGTTCCCCTTGGCCTCTGGAACAAGTTTCTCTTCTACACCCTCCAGTCTTCAATAGGCCTCATCTGGCTGATTCCTGAGATGTCCTCTGGGCATTTTTTCTGTTGTTGTTATGCAAAGTACTTAGCTTCTCTTTAGTGGTGTCAAATCTTTCAATAATCACACTTTCTTTGGCCTCAATTTTACATGCACTTCTTTTTTTCTTAATATTTTTAGTTAAATGTGGATACAGTGTCCTTATTTTGTTTATTTACTTTTATGTGRTGCTGAGGATCAAACCCAGTGCCTCACATGTGGGAGGCAAGAGCTCTATGGCTGAGCCACACCCCAGCCACCACATGCACTTCTTATCCGTTCAAACTGGGAGTTTTTCAAATCTTTCCTCTCTGCTTTTTGCTCTTAATTCTCACAATACACTTGGCTAAAAGCTTTCAGCAATATCAAAGTCACTGCCTGAATGCCGAGCTGCCTTAAAATTTCCTCTGCCCAATTCATTAATCCATCACTTTTTAAGTTCAGCTTTGCAGAAAGCCTCAGTACATGGACAAAATGTAGAAAAGTTCTTTGCCAGAATGTAATTGGTCTCCAGGCCAATTCCCAAGTAGATCCTTGTTAGCCTTGGAAACATGAGCACAGTCTTAATGTTT